TGTATTTTTTTAAAATCCTTTGAACAGTACCATAACTGAAATTAGAGTCCTTGAGAATATCTACTATTGAATTCTCACGATAAGCTTCAAAATATCCAATAACTGCAATTTCCGTGGCCTCGCTTATTATGAATTCTTTTTTTGCCCTTGTTTTAGCAAAAACATTTTCGTTGCCCCTAAATTTTCGATAAAGTCTCAGAAAATATAGTTCATACGGTTGAATGCGAGCGGGATATAATTCACTGTAGTATTCTCTTGCTCTCAAGGAGGATTTTCTGCACACTAAATAGCATTCTAACATATCACACTTTTCTTCATGGGAGAACATTTTTCTTTAAATTAATGACACAATAAAGCTTATAAACAAGTATTTACACTAATGTTTGACATTATTTGATTTTATCATTGTTTTCCAAAGCCTTCTAGTTGCGAGTATGTCCAGTTTAACAATTTGTCGCTTATCTTAATGCTGTCAAATCGCGAACGCCATGTTGTTTTCATAGCCGTCTTAATATTATAATACTGTAAATAATTAAAAATATTTATCGTTATTTTGACTTTATTTTGACTTTAGCGGAAAAGTCATTATGAACTTTTTTGTTTAAAATTTGATGCTTTAACAGAAAAAAATATAATATACAGCTGTTTCCATTTAAAAAAATGTCAAAATAACGACTCTCAATTGTTTTTTTTTATTTCTCATTTTTACCAGCGTTAAAAATGCTACTAGTTTGCTAATTCAAACAACTTTGTATTTTCACTAATAACAAAGTTACTAATGGTGGACACTTAATTTGGATAACCCTGTATATCAAAGATGTGATTTTTTAAATGGAATGCCTCAAATTTTATAGCATATTTGGATAAACCAATTCAAAAGAAGAAAATTGATATAACATACTATGGGGTTTTTGGTGATTAGCTAGTAAGGTATTTTGTCCAGAAAAACCGTACACTTCGGCAACCACTCAATCCGCCATTTTGGAATTTGGAGAGCTGAATTTTGTATAAATAAACTCATATACCTCAGCTTTTATCTTGTTTGTTATTTTTTCAAATTTTCATGTTTGCTCGTACAGGATGGTCAAAAACGAGAATTGCCCGTCTTCTCAAAAATTTCAAATGCATCACCCTATATATTTGTACAATTTTGGATTCATTTTTTTATGAGCTTTTTTTGTATAATGTTTGATTCAGATAAAATTACTAGATTTCGAGTTATTAAGCTTCTAATAGAACATCACACCAAAATTACGGAAAAAATCACATCATCCATGGAAACAAAAGACAAACAGTGGGTTAGTTCCATATTGCCACTAAGGCCCGTATCGTCAGTCGTCCCTACAATAAATTGTAGGGCGCGTTTATGGCCTCCTTGATTGTCATACCTACTCCTTTCTCTCCTTCAAAAATTTCTAGATTACACTTGTCCCGTGTCAGCGTCAGCGCTCTCCTATTGTGAAGATATGTTTTCTTTTTAAATTGTAGGAAATTTCAGGCTGATAAAACATGATATAACTCAAAAGCAAGCACAATTTGATGCAAATAGATGTTTGTGACATAACCTCAAAATAGAGTTCTGACACGGAGAAGTAGAAAACTCTGACAATCAAGGAGGTCATAAAGACGCCCTACAATTGTAGGGACGACTGACGATACGTTCCTAAGAGTTCAGATTTGACAGAAGTTCTGCATAATATATCAGTGTCTGCTCCAATTTGCCGTGCAATTGAATGGGGATGTTTCTTCAACTTTAATAGAACCTCCAACTGATCCGCCTCATTGGTGACACTTGGATTATTTATACACTTCTTACTATATTCCACTACTGCACCCGATTCAAAACGTTCTCGTAGTGTGGAAAATGTTTCCGACCTTGGATGTCGCATATTAGGGATGCGGGATGCTAGGAATCTATTTCTTTGGGCTTTGCCCAAAACGAACACCATATTCACCATTTCTTCTTTAGAAAAATCATTTTTAAACACGTTTTGATTATAATGCTCACAGAACTAATTTTGACAGTTTGTAACTAATCAACAATTTATTTGTTTCCAAGGATGATGCGATATTTTGGGGAATTAAGCCGTTATATAAAAGACGTGCTAATGACCGAAAAAATAGCCATAAAAACCCTTATGTATCTAGTATCAAAAAAAATATTATAATAAAGTGAATTCAAACTTGCACAAATACACAGGGTGATGCATTTCAAATTTTTGAGAATAACTACAGTTTTTGATCACCCTGTATGAGCAAAAATTAAAATTTGATAAAGTAACAAATAAAATAAAAGCTGAGGTGTATAAGTTTTCTTTGATACAAAATCCAGCACTCCAAATTGCAAAATGGCGGACTGAGGGGTTGCCGAAGTAGGCGGTTTTTCTAGACAAAACACCTTATATCTCAGTAGGTAATTACCAAAACCCCATAGTATGTTATATCATTTTTCATCTTTTGAATTGGTTCATCCAAATATGCAATAAAATTTGAGGTATTCTATTTGAAAAATCACAACTTTGATATGTAGGTCGCAATTGGGACACCCTGTATAATGGCCGATATTTTAAAAATTTGCCCTCAAATGTCATGTATAACATCCCATAAATGGATTTTCCCAAAATGTATTTGTTTATGAGTAATATTCCGTCCACACATGGATGGGCCACCCTGTATATTGGCCACCCTGTACAAGAATCTTTAGGGCCAGAAAGAAAGATTTTGTTTGTTCATGGCGATCACAAAGAATACGGATAACAAAGTACGCAGCTTTTTAACTACAGACGTTATCTGAATGAAGAAAATAAAAATGTATTTATAGCTTATCTGCAATGTACTTCGTCGCCTGAATGCAGAACTATTGTATGTCCAAATTCTTCATTTTTCGGATTTTAACACGACATTGTAGGTCATAGTCACCTACATTGCATGCAGAGGTATTGTAAGTCCCCACCACTGGTCTTGAACGATATTTTGGCGTAATAGCTTGAGGCGCGTCATTTCGCTGCAGAACTATGATAAGAGCAAATGATCACTTACAGAACGACTGTAAGTCCAATGTCAGAAACAAATATAAGTCTACTTTCACGGACTAGTCATACTTTTTTTCCGGTAAAGCATTCTATATCCAAGATGTCTCAGAAATGTTAGGCAAGACACAAACTCGAAAAATAGCTCTCCTGTAAAATATGCATTTTGTGACTTAGAATACTTCTGCATTCAAGCGACGACTTGTACTTTGATGATCGCAGTCATTTTCAAACCTTAGGTTGCACAACCTGCACACACGTGTACAGACAGAACATTTCTCAAGCCCTGAGGCTGCATTCAGGTCACTGTTTCACTGTCACTCCTGCGCTACTGAAGTATGAATGGCTCAAAAGTGAGAGAAGGAAAGGCTTAATATTTCAGACCGCCGCGCTAAGCTATGCATGAGGTTCTTTGCTACGCTCCATGTGAGATTTACACATTCATTACTTACTTGGTCGGGGTTTTGCATTATTAAACTTGAACGGCTAATAACTGCTCGCTGCTTTGTACTATTTTCCTTTGGTGATTATCCGCTAGCGCTACAGTTCCGCACATTCATCTGTTAGTGGTCTGTGTGTAATTTTTCTTGAGATGGTGTAAGTGTGTTGGCTAGTTTTTTTTTCCATAGGTCCAAATTAGACATTCGTGGAAGAAATGTAAAACTCGATCTTCAGAGCCAAGTTCATCGTGTATCGTAAGGGACAGTTTTAGGCCCGTTATTTTTTTTGTGTTCATCGATAGCCTGCTTAGCTTGAAGAAGCAAGGCACAATAATTTGCTTTGCAGATGACACAGCGATACTTTATTCTAATAACAATTTCTTGGATAGCCTTAAAGAGACTGTTGAAAATGATATTATTTTAATTTCAGATTCGCCTAAACCAGAGTTCCCCAAACTTTTTTGTGTCGTAGACCCCTTGCCATGTTTTTCCGTGTTGGGTAGACCCCCTACTTACCTGATATTGATTTCCTGTAAATTTCTAACCGTAGTGAAGTTTAGTGTTAAAAACTTAAAGTAAAAACACATGTTAATTTATACATTTATTAATTGAATTTATATTAAAACTACTCAAAATAAAATTTTGTATCTGTTATGTAAAATATACGTAACATTAAATAAACAGGTGTCTGACCAATAATTGGGAATAAGTGCCCGCATTGAAAAAAATAAGAGGGATAAAATTAAAAAAAGTGAAAAATAATTAAAAAAAAGTTTTTTACTTAAAATAGTACAATAAGCGAGTTCGTTTATTAATTATAACATAAACGTATGTTCTACAATAATTTCACTGTTAGTTTGATTAAATTCCGCTTCTTATACGTTTAAGTTATCTAAAAATAGACAAAAAATTAACGAATTTTAGTGTGTACCTATCCTTGAATTTTCAGAATTTTAAAAAAAAAATATTTTCTATAAAGGGGGTTCTTTAAAAAAATCAATTCGAGCAGTTATTCCCAATGCGGGCATTTATTGGTCAGACACCAATAAACTATAACTAAACTATAAACTATAAATAAAATAACATAAGCAATAAGTCAATATTTTTAGTGAGAAGGATGAAGCTGATGCTTTAATAATAAATTAATCAACATTTGGCGTCAATTTTGTAAGGGTTAATCTTAAACCTCATCGGCTAATGATGTCCAGTCTGTTTCTTTTTTTCGTTAGGAGATTGGTAACAGCGCTGAACCCCCTTTCCACTAGGTATGACGATGGAAAGGAAATTAAATATTTCCTCGCTATATTCGATAATACGGGATAAGTAACGGGTATGTTGTTTTGCAGCCAGAATTGCTGATATCCGTTTTTAAACTGAACCTTAAGTTCTTCGTTTGTACTTAGTTCAGTCAGTTCCTCTTGTATTATGACATTCGTTTCTTCTATGTCACCATATGGATTAATTATCCACGGTGGTATTACCATAGTCAAAATATCCTCAAACCTAGATTCAAAATCTGAATAGAGGGCATTTAAATGTTGAACGTAAGTTGAAACGTCGTCTTCCTGGCAACTTGTCTGTGACAAATTGGGGAACTGAGAAAATTCGCTCGTCCAATATTTTGCTTCATTAGTTTAACTCTGGCAAGAAACGCTGATAAGATGGACTTTGTTTTAATCAAATTTAAACTGTCGCCTTGTAATTGCAAATTAACCATATTAAATTTTGTAAACAAATCTGTTAAATAGGCGATGTCTGTTTTCCTCTTCATTAAATTTTCTTTTAAAATTTTATCTTTAGTATCCAGAAACTCTAAAATAGTCTCAAAAAGTGCAAAAAATCTTGTCAAACATAAGCCTTTCGACAGCCAGCGTACTTCAGTGTGAAGGAGTAATTGATGAAAGTGTTCGTCATCTTCTTCACACAACTGCGAAAATAACCGCGTATTCAACGCGTTGCTTCGGATTTGGTTTACTGCATCAATCACTAAATGAAGTGATTCATGCAATCTAACTCTCAAATCTTTAGCAACTAAATGTTGTCTATGGATGACGCAATGTATTGCTAACACCCCTGACACATTTTGTTTTTAAATAGCTTATAAATCCACGATAACGTCCAACCACGGCAGGTGCTCCATCTGTAGCTACTGATATTATATTTGATAAAGGAATTGCTTTTTCAATGAAGTAATCCTTCAAAACATGAAATATTGATTCACCTTTAGTGTCGGTTATTAAAGTTCTTGCGAAGAGCAGTTCTTCGTAGATTTCTTGATTCATAATAAAACGAACATATGCCAATAATAATGCTGCATTATCAGGTAAAGTTGACTCGTCCAGTTGTATAGAGAAATGGGTCATTTGCAAATAATTACATAAGAAGCTGTCAATATCAGAACTCATTTCATCAATACGTCTTTCAACAGTATTGTTGCTTAAGGGAATTCATTTAATGATATCAGATGCAGGTTTGTGTAAAACAGTTTTTAAAACCTCTTCAACGGCTGGCAAAATTAACTTCTCTCCGATAGTATGCGGTTTTCCGGATTTGGCTATAAGTAACGAGATATTGTAAGACGCCCGCAAACCATCATCATTTCTTTGTGACGTCGAAGCGAACATTCTGTCCAGTGTAGGTCTCTTCTGAAATTTATCTTTGAGTGTTTGAAAGTATTTCAAATCTTTCTCTGTTTTATCAGGGTGGCATCTTCTCAGATGATCTTGCAGTTTAGATGGTTTCATAGCGTCATTGTCCAAAATTTTGTTGCATAAAAGGCACATGGGCGATTGTTTGTCCGGCAATGATGGAATGAAGCCAAATTTCAAATAATCAACACTGTACTGTCTACATTTCTTTTTAGATTCGGACATGGCATCAGTCATCTGTGGGCAAAATTAAATTATTTAAATAAGACAGAAAATCCAGCAGCTGTATATTAAAAATATTTTTGGATTTTTCCGAAAACATTCCATAATTCGAACATCTTCTTGCAACAATTAGCTCGAATTAAGGAGATTGCACGGTAATTATATTACCGACTGCTAAAACTTTCAAAAAGAAACTATTGAGGAGTACTCGTGTAATTTTGCATGATTGAATATTTAACTACTAATAACTAAAGTCATGATTGGCGTAATTTATCTATCTTTGCTAAATACGAGTACAAAACTAAAATTTAATAAAAAATAATGTTCTTACTTTTCTCCAGCACTCTCAAACAAAATAACACTGACTCACTGTAATTTGTGTGATATAATATCTGTTTATATTTTTTAAAATATTTTCTTAGCACTTTCCTTTTAAAGATTCAGGAAACGAATAAACGTATTTGTCCCACATTCGTATTTATAGAGTGACGAATTGAACAAGTTAGTGCAAGATAGCGAAGCTCTGAGACTGCGACTGTCAGGTTTTTACAAGTTCAAAATGTATTACGACCACAAAGCGAATACCAACATCCTACAACTTACACAATTTTATAAACATATATAATAAATTTTTTACTTCATAGGTACTTTTATAAATAATGTATATGTTTTGATATTATAAGATAGTATGATGTAAGTAAATAGGTACTATCAGTGTATGTGTTGAGATCCACTATCGTGGACCCCCATATTCATTTCATGGACCCCCAAATTTTTTTTCGCTGACGTAGACCCCTTGCAGGTTGTCATAGACCCCTAGGGGTCGATATTGACCACTTCGGCAATCAATGGCCTAAACACTCAATTTTCAGGAAACCATGTATATGCCGTTCACAAACCTTAAAAATGAACTGCCGTCATTTACCTCTTTACAAATCAAACGTGACAAGCTCTCTCATACATTCAGTTGATAAAACAAAATATTTAGGTGCTCATTTGGATACTCATTTATAATAATAATAGTAATAATAATAATAATGTTTATTGGTCCAATTACAAAGTGTTCGTATAAATAATAACGGCAACGTCCAATAAACATAATATAATCAAAAAAGTGTACACTTGTGCTTGGGTTTTAACCGAAGTTGAATTATATTAATATACGTACAACAAATATACTAGTCAAATGTATAAGTTTGCATCACTTTATGATCAAATAACATATAGGTTTTTAGTGTCAACAAACTTATGGATTTGTAGCGTGGGTTGATTTAGGATCCATGATTTTAATTCAATTTTTAAAGGTCTTTTTTTACATTTTATATGTTTAAAGTTTGCAAAAATGTTTGAAGTTTGAATCGCGTTTGATGGTTGTGACTGATAGAAAGTAACAATTTTGGATTTTTTGTTAAATATATTATGTATGATAAAAATAAGTTTGTCGGCAGTCGAAAAGCTGAGATTCATTGTAAAGATTTTCTGAGGGATAACATTTCTTTTTGTTCAACATCCACTTCTGCGTAATTTCAATCTTTTTATAAATTTGGGGAAGATCTGTTGTCGCAAGGAAATGTAATAAAGTATGTTTTGTTGAAATTTACTGTTGAAATCCTTTCCGTGAAAAAATTTGTAACCTTTTGAAAATCTAATACAATTTTGTTTTTTAAAGAAGTCCAATCTCTGTCTGAGTAAATAATTGACATCTCGTCTGCGAAACCAATAATTTCTCCATCGTTTTTTAACTTAAGAAGGTCATTAATATATAAATTAAACAGCATTGGTCCTAATACGGTTCCTTGTGGAACTCCGCATCTAACAATCATGTTTTCACTCAGTGTACTGTTGATTTTCACACATTGTGTCCTGTTTTGCAAATAACTTTTTATGAGTTGATGAGTGACTCCACGAAATCCTAAATTTTCCAAGGTTAATAATTTTTTATGCGAATGCTTTGGTTAGGTCTACAAAAAGGCATGCTGTTGACTTATTATTATCAACGTATTTGTAAATTTTGGTTGTCAACTGAATAAGTGCACCTTAAGTTGATTTTGCTTCCTGGAATCCATATTGATCTTCAGATATGAGGTGTTTTGCAATAAAATCTGAAAAGCGTTTGTTAAGAATTTTTTCGGAAATTTTTAAAAAGTTTGTCAATAGTGAAATTGGGCGATAATTACAAGGTTTCTGTTTATCTCCAGATTTAAATACAGGTTTTATTATTGCCTTTTTTAATTGGGTCGGGAACATTTCTCTTTCCATGCAGGTGTTTATGAGATACGCTAATACTTAAGAAATTTTATAATCTATTTGTTTCAAAGTGTATGCGGTTATATTATCAAATCCCGGTGATTTCTTAACTTTCAGTCGTTTCATGATATGTTCAATTTCGTATTGATCTATCTGTGTCAGATACAGGGAATTTTGCAATATGGTTTTCGTGTATATAAGTTGTGTTTCATTTGAACAGAATCTCACCAATTTCAGAAAAATATTTACAAAACTCATTGCCTGTTTCAATATCGCTTTTTGTAAGTTCTCCATTTTTTTCTTGTACAGCAGGAATTTCTTGGCATCTTTGAGAATGTTGCATTTTTTCTATGAAATGCCACATTTCGTCCGAAGAATTTTGAAGTTTGTCAACTTCATTTTTCAAAAATTTCAATTTAACCTCATTTATAATTGTGGTTAATTTGTTTTTGTATAATTTAAATTCTTTTAGAGGTTCTAAATCGTGTGGAAATTTTTTTGTTTCTCTATACAGCTTGTTCTAAGTCCATTCGATATCCATGGCTGCCTTTTAATATACTTTCGTGGGATATTTATATAATTTAAAGTGGAATTTCCAAGTTGATCTGATAATAACTAATTTGAGACGATTATTATTTAGATTAAAGTACCTCACTAAATATCTAAACCATGAAACAATGAAGATGTTATATCATGCACTTATTGAATGTCGCCTAAATTATGCCGGACTAGCTTGGGGTGGTGCTCTGACCAGCCAAATTAAGAAGCTAGAAATAATCCAAAAACAATTTTTGAATATTATTTTTAAACGGCCAATTTGATATGTTATACTCTGGAGTGGGACTACTCGATCTGAGACAACTCTTTTCTTACAATGCTGTAATCAATTTGTTCAAAAATAAAACGCACCGCATTTCACTGGATCACAAGTATGAAACAAGAAGTAAAGTCGAAGATATTAACAGAACACCATTTACAACAAAAAATGTAATTCAAAGATGTTCCAGCTACCTCTCCGCTAGATTTTATAACTTTTGACCAAACCATATAAAATCCATTACAAATAAAAATAAATTTAAAATTGAAATTAAAAAATTCTTGATATCTAATAATCGACATGAAATTGCAAAACACACTCAAATGAAAGTTAATCAGGTTTTGAATATAATGTTATTACACTTACCTTTATGGTTATATGTTGTGATCAAATTTATGTATTAACTATATTTAACTATGTTCAAAGCAAAAATTGTTATGAAAAATGTTTTTACACGCACAAGAGTGACATTCTTATGTGGGACTATTTCAGCGTGTATATATATATATACAAGGTGTCCGCAAAGCTTTTCAAAAACAACTACCCATGAAATAACAAAGGTAATGTGTAGTGAAACGAGGGCGACCAAGTAAAAAAAAATAAAGGAAAAAGTACTCACTCTCCAGTTGACGAGAAGGGCTGAGTACGTCTCTGCCCGAAATCATACCGCTCCAACAGAAAATGAAATCAGCTGATGCGCTACCGAGCAGACGCCGGCGGTGGTGCAGACCACGAACAGAGCTAACAAATATGACGGCGTTGCCGCGTTTTCAGTTTTTAGGTAAACGTACTTCATAGGTATTGTTCGAAGTTATCGCCGTTTGATTCAAAAACACAAGTGCGTGCACGACGTAGCCAAGCATCGGTGCAGGCTGTGAGAATGGAGTCCCTCCCCCGAATGAAAGCACCAGCTTGTTCAATTCTGAGACGAAGTTCGTCAACCGTATGCACATCAGTTTTGTACACTAAGCGTTTCATTTCTCCCCAAAGAAAAAAATCACATGGTGTTAAGTCTGAAGATCGCGGAGGCCACGCTACGGGTCCATTACGTCCGATCCACCTATTCGGAAATAATTCATCCAAAAACTCACGCACTTCGCGTCTAAAATGGGGCGGTGCACCATCGTGCAGAAACCACATTGATTGTCGTACACTTAATGGCACATCTTCTAATAAGGAAGGCAAAATTTGGGAGAATAAATGGTCCAATGAGCATACCGTTCACCATGCCAGCCCAAACATTCACCGAAAATGTTTGTTGAAAATGTGCCCGACGGACAGCGTGCGGATTTTCTACTGACCAAACATGAGTGTTGCGAAAGTTATTCACCCCATTACAGGTGAACGTAGATTCGTCTGTCACCAATATGCACTTCAAAAAGTCCGGATTATTGTCATGTTGATGCAACAACCTCTCACAAAACCGCACTCTTGCTGGAAAATCGTCAGGTTGAAGGGCTTGTACACGTTGGACGTGAAACGGATACAGCCCCTCTTCACGCAGCATTTGCCACACTTTAGTTTTTGATACTTGCACTTCTCTAGCCACGTCTCTAGTGCTTGTTGAGGGATTTTCGTCTACGCGATTCAGTAGTTCTTCCTCAACTTGCACCATTCGTGGTTGTCTAGGCCTCCCACTGTGCCCACCTCGAAATTCCTCCAAATGGCCCGTATCCCTGACTCTCTGGACCAGGTACACAAATCTGCGGGG